ATGCGTACTTCCTTTGTGATATAGCAATTCCATTTCTTGATTGAGCCACTTCTATTCCAAGGAAATATTTCAGTTTTCCTAAATCCTTGGTTTGAAAATGACCAAACAAATGCTTCTTTAATTGGGAGATTTTCTCGTGATCATTGCCAGTAATGACAATGTCATCCACATACTCTATGAGGTAGACACAAGTACCGAGAGAAGTATGGCAATAAAAGACCGAGTGATCTGCCTCACTGCGCCGCAATCCAAATTTCTGCACAACCGAACTAAATTTCCCAAACCATGCTCGTGGGGATTGTTTGAGCCCGTAGAGAGATCTCCGAAGTTTGCAAACCAATCCTGACTCCCCCTGAGCAACAAAGCCTCGCGGTTGCTCCATATAAATCTCTTCTTCTAATTCTCCATGAAGAAAAGCGTTTTTAATATCTAACTGGTATAATGGCCAATGACAAATTGCTGCCATGGCAAGAAATAAACGGACAGAGGTGATCTTGGCCACGGGAGAAAAAGTATCCCCATAGTCAAGACCATAAATTTGCGTATATCCTTTTGCCACAAGACGAGCTTTTAGACGATCAATTCGTCCATCTGGGCCAACTTTCACAGTATACACCCAACGACATCCAATAGTGCTTTTTCTTGGAGGAAGAGAGACTAATTCCCATGTTTCATTTTGTTCAAGAGCTTGCATTTCTTCAATCATGGCTTGTCGCCATCCTGGATGGTCAAGTGCTTCACGAACAGTTTTGGGTATGGGAACAGAAGATAAGGATGATACAAAGGCAAAATAGGAAGGAGACAGACGGTGATAGCTTACAAAATTATAAATAGGATGAGGATTACGAGATGACCGATTACCTTTTCTAAGAGCAATAGGCAACTCATTAGCACTAAGGTCAGTAGTAGAGACGTCTGGTGGAGTAGGACATGAATCATTTGACCGTACAACCTCTTCTTCTGCTGGATCAGAAACTTGCGCGCGCCGTTGGTATGTAAGATGAGGCAAGGATGACTCTACTGGAGGAGATTCACTGGGAACTTCTTCGGATGAAATTTGTTCTTCTGGGCTCGAGTATGGAATGTATAAAGCTTCGAGTATAGAATTAGATTCATCTAAAGTGGAGGAGAAAAATAAATTATTTTCAAAGAATGTAACATCTGCAGACATATAGTACCGTTTATTTTCTGGAGAGTAACATCGATACCCCTTCTGCACTCTAGAATACCCAAGAAAGACGCACTTGATAGCTCGAGCAGAGAGTTTGTCTAAGCCCGGTGAAAGATTATGGACAAAACAGGTACATCCAACAATACGAGGATCAATGTGAAACAATGGCTCGTTAGGAAATAAAATAGAAAAAGGAACCTTATGACCTAGAGATGAAGAAGGCATTCGATTTATTAGAAAACAAGCAGTTAAAACTGCATCACCCCAAAAATAAGTAGGCATTTTGGCATGAAGTAATAATGTTCGTGCAGTTTCAATTAGATGCCTATTTTTCCTTTCGGCAATTCCATTCTGTTGGGGTGTGTGAGGACATGTCGACTGATGGATGACACCTTTTGATGACAAAAAAGAGGAGAAGGCTGAAGAAAAATACTCTTTTGCATTATCACTGCGAAGAATTTTGATTTTCGTACTGAACTGGGTTTCAATTTCGTTGTAGAAAGAGGTAAAAATAGAAAATGTTGAATTTTGAATGCCTATCAAAGTCCACTCATCTGTTGAGACAGACTACGTGTTACGACTTTAGGTGTCGTAACAGAATTGTTGTGTTGTCACAGTAATAAATCTACGAAAAGCAGAATAAACAACACAACAATTTAATGTGGTTCGGATACAAACGTACCCTACATCCACGAGGACTTGCAAAACTAGTTCAGATTTACAGTGTACATTAATAGGACTTAATAAAACACTAAAGACTCCCTCTTTATGTGATACGCCGTTCTTGCACACGACTCGAACTTGTTGATAATCAAAGCAATTCCTCCTCCGCACTCTTGGACTTCCTCCAATGTTGAACTTCCTTCAAACGGCGGATAGACCTCTCCCGAGATCTTTTAAGCACTTCTCCCGAAACGCCGATCTTCTTTATGGCCTGGTAGAAGAAACCTGTTCTGTTGCCACACCTGCCGTGCAGACAGGGCTGCAGCACGGGCTGCACCCTTCAAAGCCTTTATGCTGGGATTTTTCTTATTAAAGCTCCATGGGACTCATATGAGGTTGAGGGCCTTATATAGGCACGAAATCCACCACCCTAAACCTAACTTGAGCCCTAAGAAATCGATTAACTAGGTAATAGAATCCTAGTCGATTTCTACTTCTATTCTAGATAAATACAAAAAATACCTAACTAGAATACAATACATGGAAATAAATCTAAGTCCTAATAACAATATTACAAAAATAGGACTCTAATTAATTCCAAAATAAACATGGAAAACAAATCTTTGCCAATCTTTAATTTCCACGTATGGCGGATTTCTTCAATCTTCATAAATAGAAATCTCGTGCCAACAATCTCCCCCTTTGGCATAGATTGGTTATAATCCATGTTTAACAAGAACTCCCCCTGCAGATGAGATTTACTCCTCCTGCAACAGAGATGCCACTTTTCTTCACCCGTCTTGGTCTTCTATCAGAGTGTCCCATCACGGGGCACGTTACAACGCAGCGGAATTGGGTGAATGCCGTGACAGACTTCCGTCTCAACCTTCCTTGTGAACACACGTCATCCAATAAGCAAAGCAAACAAATCAAAACCCAAAATCGGACACTAAGTATATCTAGTGACCCGCTCTGATGCCAATTGTTGAATTTAAATGCCTATCAAAGTCCACTCATCTGTTGAGACAGACTACGTGTTACGACTTTAGGTGTCGTAACAGAATTGTTGTGTTGTCACAGTAATAAATCTACAAAAAGCAGAATAAACAACACAACAATTTAATGTGGTTCGGATACAAACGTACCCTACATCCACGAGGACTTGCAAAACTAGTTCAGATTTACAGTGTACATTAATAGGACTTAATAAAACACTAAAGACTCCCTCTTTATGTGATACGCCGTTCTTGCACACGACTCGAACTTGTTGATAATCAAAGCAATTCCTCCTCCGCACTCTTGGACTTCCTCCAATGTTGAACTTCCTTCAAACGGCGGATAGACCTCTCCCGAGATCTTTTAAGCACTTCTCCCGAAACGCCGATCTTCTTTATGGCCTGGTAGAAGAAACCTGTTCTGTTGCCACACCTGCCGTGCAGACAGGGCTGCAGCACGGGCTGCACCCTTCAAAGCCTTTATGCTGGGATTTTTCTTATTAAAGCTCCATGGGACTCATATGAGGTTGAGGGCCTTATATAGGCACGAAACCCACCACCCTAAACCTAACTTGAGCCCTAAGAAATCGATTAACTAGGTAATAGAATCCTAGTCGATTTCTACTTCTATTCTAGATAAATACAAAAAATACCTAACTAGAATACAATACATGGAAATAAATCTAAGTCCTAATAACAATATTACAAAAATAGGACTCTAATTAATTCCAAAATAAACATGGAAAACAAATCTTTGCCAATCTTTAATTTCCACGTATGGCGGATTTCTTCAATCTTCATAAATAGAAATCTCGTGCCAACAGAAAATATTTCGGAACGTTCTTTCATTAGAAAAACCCAAGTACATCTTGAAAATTCGTCAATAAAAGTTACAAAATACTTAAAACCAAGAGTAGTAGATACGCGACTTGGACCCCATATATCAGAATGAATAACAGAAAAAGGAGAGTCAACACGACTGCTTACCTTTTCAGAAAAAGAAGATCGACTATGCTTCCCTAACTGACATGACTCGCAACACAAAGGCTCTAATTTTTGAAGATTTGGGATCATTTTTTTCATCTTTGCAAGCTTGGGTGACCTAAACGCTCATGCAGAAGATTATGAGATGTTTTTGCGGCACATGTTACCGAACCAGTTAATTGTAGGTAGTACAGGCCTTGGGATTCATGTCCTATGCCAATCATCCGCCCCGTACCACGTTCCTGGATCACAAAAGAATCAGCATCAAAGGTTACAGAACAATTAAGAGAACGAGTGAGTTGGCTAAGAGAGATTAAATTGAAAGGACAATCAGGAATAAACAAAACTGATTTCAAAGACATAGAAGAAGTAGGAGAAGCATGGCCTATTCCTTTCGCGGCAACCTTAGATCCATCGGCTAATGTGATAAACTGAGAAAATTTAGGTGTAGATATTGAGGAAAAAAGGGATATGTTACCGGCAATGTGATCGGAAGCACCTGAGTCAATAATCCAAGAGGTTTTGTTACCAGATTGAGAGATGCAAGCCGTTGAATTATGAGCATTTGGGGAAGATTCAGTTTGACTGGCAGCTTTCAAATCAAGATATTCTTTATACTCAGCCTCTGTGACTGTTACTTCAGACTTTGCGACATGGGCTGTTTTCTTGGGAAATCCGTGAAGAGAGTAGCATGTCTCGTGTGTATGCCCCATTCTTTTACAGTGGGAACATTGCGGTCGACCACTTCTTCCTCCTCGTCCTCCACGGTTAGCATGACTACCATGTCTTCGATTAGACACCATTGCAGAAACTTCGGTGAAATCAGTTGACTTGCTTTCATTTTTTGTAGACGGGACACGAAGTAGACGAGTAATTAAACTTTCCATGGAAGGTACC